CCCCCTCTGTAGTCGAAGGAGGGAAAGCAAAGCTCCTGCAGAGGAGCATTCAGTGCACCCAAATTAGCCTTAGTCTGAATTGTCCTCCCTCTCATCCGTGACTGGAGAAAGAGTTTGAAGACACTACCCGGGTAATTTAGCCAGTTAAGATGGGTGGTCTGAATAATTCCTTCCCCACCAACCTCTAAAAGCCTGCCTAGGTACCCCACAGAGATTGGCATGCTGTTGGAGGGATGGATTCTCAAGCATGTAGGCTGTTCAGTAAATCTGTGCTCATGCCTGCTCTAGAGAAAGCCCCGGGATGCTCAGGGGGCTCACTTGATCCTGTTGGACCCTGTAGCTCCCATCCAGGACAGGGATGTCCATGCTGTCAGGTGATGCTGTCGGACAATTTGTGGTGATGGTCAGGTTTTGGGGATGTTTTTTTCCCCCACCTGGCAGACTGCCTCTGCTGTCTTCAAACCCTGGTCAGAGGCTTCTGAGCTGCAGACCAGCCTGGCCCCGAGAGGTATCTCATGGTGGAATTGAAAGTGGCTCCCATGTTGCACAGACAGGGGACATGGCTGCTCCTAACTCCTTCCCAACAAATTTTGTCCCTTCTTGTGGGACCCTTTCTTCCTCATCTTTGTTCATACAGAGTGAGGAAGGGGTCTCACTCTCCAAAATGAAAGCAAGTCATGGAGGTGTGCTGCACCTCCAAAATGAGGGACAGGGGTGCAACAGCAAAGCATTACTGATCCCTGGTTACTGATCCCTGCAACCAAAGCGCAGCCTTCCATGGGGCCAAGTAACAGGTAAAAGCAGATTAACCAGACTCGCTTGTAGACAGTGTTGCTGGTGGTGAGAGGAGCCTGGAAAGCGCTCAGCTTTACTGCAAGTAGGCAATTGCCACCATTTTCCACGCCACGTAGCCACCTGCATCTCTCATCTGGCTGGCCGCACTGCAGTCTTGTGTCTGCCCTGGTTACCCACAGGCAGCAGGAGATAGGCAGGGTGGCCTCACATGTCCCACCTCAGGTCAGCCCCAGGCAGCTGGCTGGCAGCAGAGGTCAGGAAGGAGCTGCAGCCTACCTTTCCAGGCTCTTCAGCCAGCACCATGAGAACTGCATTCCCAGGCACACCCAGCTGGAGGATACATGGCAAAGCTAAAAGGACATCACTTCCCCAAGAAAATTCCTGTTCTAAATATTGCATCACCAGAGTGAGAACATGTATTCTAGAGAGAACCAGCTCTGGGATGAGCAAAAGCTTTTGCCCAAAGAAACAAGGAAACGTTCCCCATCAGTTTCCATAAGAGCCACAGCCACCCAAGTAACTAGGATGTTAACGCAACAAAGATTTTCATTTGCAGGGTTAAATATTGTGAATATTGTAGGTTTTTTTTTTTTTTTGGTCTGAAAATGAGCTGCATCTTTGTGCTACCACTAAATCATCATTTTTCCATGCTTGACCTGAAAAGAATCTGACCTGGGCAGCTGTTTAACTTGGTGCTCATCAAAGACCAGCAAAGTCTGGCTCTCAACTGTTTGAACAGTGGAACAGTCTTTTAACAGCCAGCCTTATTAAAGCACAGGATTTTATTAGCTGTTCTGTGGTAATAAGGTGAAGGACAATGTTGTGGAATGCTCCTTCAGGAGATTTGGGATCTTGTATACTTTGGGGTTTACTTTCCTCTTTTGGACTAGGATGCTTGGCAACCAATAGTATGACAGCTTCATTGTAACAGTCTCTTCCTTGGGCAATCAATTTTTCACTCAGGTAGAGGAAAAGTATTGCTTGAAGAGCTAGAAGGGAAATATACTATTGCCCTCTTGTTCTCTCTTTCTTTTTTTTTTTAAAGCCATTGCAGACTTACAGGTACTTGGAAAAACTCCAGACAGAGGGCAAAAATCTACTCTGCCCATGCAAATATACAGCAATGTTGTATATTCAAAACATGGAAGTTAAAGTGGCTTTCCTCTTCGGCAAATTTCTTTAAAGTTTTGGTCGTTCTCACAACATGTTAAAGAGATAGTAAACGTCCCTTTCTCCTGAAAACCACTTCTGGGGCACATAAAGTTTCAATTATCATTAGAGAACACCTGCCAGAAGTTTTCATGAACTAATAATAAATCTACATTATTTTGCAAAAGAACAAAGTGTTCTGACAAATTGCAGCAATCCCCCATCATCTTTTGTTTCATAACTCTAATGGGAAACAAAGAAGAGCAAAGCTTCCAATTCATTGACAAGCTTTAATGAGAACCGTGTTACTTCAGACTGTTGATACCAAAATAAAGATTGAAACACGAGATTTTGTGACTGTGAAAGGCTGCTTGGGAATGAAAGGTACACATCTCTGAAACCCAGTGGCTAACACCTTTACAGTCACCACCAGAAAAATCTATTGACATTTTACTCAGAAGAGTTCCTTTTTCTAATTATTTTCGTAAATCAACTCTACTCAACTGTTTTGGAGGGAAAATGAAAGCATGTATTTATATAATCAAATACTATTAGTTCATCTAATAAAGAATAGTTCGTACCATATGGAATGAAATGTGTTAGTCGAATACATGTATGATGAATCTGTCAAAACTACTGCTAGGAGAGGCGCAAGCCCTTCATCAGCCTCCAGGCTTGAGACCACCAGATATTATAATGTTGCAGGTTGCAGCAGAGTCTCATAGTCACATCACACAGGAACTTCAGACACTTGCTCAAATGCAGATGCAGCACCTCTGTGCTCTGTTGGGGAGAAAAGAGAAAGCGTTCCCCAACTGGTCAGGCTCGCTGCCCAGTTCGCCAGTTTAAATAATGTTCAGTTGCCCAAGCCTCCAATTCTGGAGGTTCATCTTTGAAAATAAACTCAGGAGAAAATCCTAGTATCTTAGTAAATAGAGAATCCCAAGGAAATCCTTGTTTTGGGTTTTGTTTTAATCCTCCAAATACTCACTCTGCTTTTCTCCAGACTCCCATCCAAGAGAAACCGTAACACATGCACGGTCACTTTGGAGACATCTAGCACACACGGAAACAGATGCGCTGTTGTGCTGGAGGAGCTTTGTCCTAAGGTTTTACCAGATCTCCAGCCAGTGCAGCTAAGGATGGTCCTGTTACACTTCAAACATAAGCCTAAAATCTTGCAGCACCCCTTACACAAACTGTCACCTTGGAACAAGAGATGCTTTGGGACACTGCACTAGTGGAAGTTATTAACTAGACCAACTTGCACCACAGCAACACAATTATGAAAAACACTCTTGAGCTAGAAGGTTCAGGCAAAACCTTCTATGCTTAGTCTTCTGTTTTTTTCCTTTTTAATTGAAGCAGCATCTCACAACTGCAAAACCTATTATGATCACATATTTTCCAAGATAATGAGAACTACTTGTTGTGACTGTTGTTGCCCTGTTGCGACTGGTAGGAGCCAGACCACAAAAGCCTTGTGCCGTACCGCTTGTAACGAGGTCCCCAGAGCCACTATTGTTCTATTAATCTTTTCAGCCAGCTAATTGTAGGAGCCTATGCTACAACTCAAAAAGCAGCAGAGGTTTTGCTTTATTTCATGCTCTGTTCTCATCCCCCTACAGCCATCCATATAGAGGCCTATAGCTGAGATCACTGCTTCTCCAGCCCCAAGAAACAGCCTCAGCTGATACCAAGACAGGACTCGGTTCCTCCTTAACAGAGCTAGTTAAGTTTTGCTCCTCCAGGAGGGTTCATGAATTTTCCACACCTGCAGTGCACTTCATACTTGCCTGTGCTGGGCTCAGAGTAGGCAGCGGATGATGCTAAACCCAAAAGTACATTTTTGAGACCTGCCTTAGATGCAGCAGTGCATATTTCTTGCTGCTGGAAAACTCCTCCCTCCCCCTCTTGGATTCATACATAGTAAGTATGATTACAGTATTATCAGTACAACTCTGCTTTAGCTGTTGCTGTGTGGGAACAGTAGCTGGCTTCTTTCTACCCCTATGCAAATTGTGATGTTCCATGTGGATGCAGCAGACAGCGTAGACTAAATCAAGCACTAACTCAAAATATTGAACCTCCAGCAACCTCTGAAAAGTTCACAAGAATGTCATGTGTCTGTTTCTGAGGTAAAAAAATAAAAAAGGAATTACAAACTATGACATGGATTATTCTTCATGTAATTCATGCTGGGAAAAAAAAACAGAAAAAAAACAGGCAGGCAAAGAGGCAATGACAGCAGTGCAGCACACCTAAAACTTTTAATCTTTGTTTTTAAGAGTACAGAGTTGAAAGTGGCACTTTCTTCTCCGTCCCACCTTCCCATTCTCTATCCCACTTCTTCCTATAGTTCTCCCTAAAAGGAAATATTTCTTTGTTGATTAGTTTGACTTCCCTTCAAGTGAGGCACACCCCTTCATCTCCAAAAGTAGCCCCCAATTCAGAAAAATATTTGCACATGCACTTCACTTTAGTCCATTTCCATTCACGGTGACATTTAAGTGTACATACTTGAACACCATTTTGAATAGGGATGTTTTTACTTATGCAAGGATGGGAGGTGAGGGTATATTTGTGTAGTCTTAACAGGGGAGGGAATGGAGGACAAACAACATACATCATCTTGCTCCCAATTTAAAGGTAGTTTTAGCAGCAGTCAGTGGCTGGCACATTGGTAAAATCTTAAGCAGCAGCTTAACCTGAGAAGTGGGTAGCAGTAAGAAATCCGATGATATTTTGAAAAGGGAAGCTCTGAAATCCCTGCTGAATGCCAGTTAAAGCAGCTTCACAAGGTCAGTCAGACTTCGAAGTTTAAACACCCTCTGCTCCTAATGGCATTAAGCAAACACGCTTCTTTGATTACAATTATATAAAGGGAGAGGCTGGCAAGACAATACAAAAAAATAAAATATCAAGAATGGGAAAACCTACAGAGCGCAGAAAATGGGATCCTGGAAAACTAGTGGCTGTGTTTTATTTTACATTGTAGGTTTTCACTTTTTATTCCTTTGAAATACATTTAGTTTTAAGTTAATAAAGATCATAGACTAATAAATTGATAGGTTCTTTAAACAGACATAAAAATTCAGACATTACACCAGAGGACCCAATATTATTGGGATTAAATATCCCAATAATAGAACAGTTAAAGTGATGCTGGCTAATGTGAGGATAAAATGCTTAGATAAAAGATGTTGTGGCTCTAAGGAAAAGTGAGGATTAGAGGAGAACAGAGAGTGAAGCAGGTGATGCTTTAGTCTGAATCTGAACTGTTTTCCTTGTTGGCATGGTACTGGCTGACTGCTTCTTCCAAAGGAGCCATTGTACCATCCGGCCGCACTCCCATTGGTTTTATAAGCTCATCTCTGTAAGAGATTTTAAGAAAGAATATATATTAGCATATGCACACATATCAATTCACATGCGTATAATACAGTCACATACAGTATATGCTTCAGTACATAATGAGCCTTTAAAAGGAAGTTATTTCTGCTAAAGCCCTCTGTTTTGAAGAAAGAGGAACAAAAAAACCTTCAAAATAGGTGGGAGGGGAAGAGCAGAACAGATAAAGACTTCATTCATGTAGGCCAAACCTACTTAGCCAATTAAAGACACCATGAAAAGTCAGCGCCTAGCAGGCTCAGGACAAGGAGCAGGTTCACTGGTTTAGATACACAAGCTAGCTTTTCTTCTAAAAGTTCTCTGATGGTCACTTCTTCCTAAAATTTTACCTGCCATCCTGGCCAATATATGCCCAGCCAATTAAACCCGTGGGTTGATACATATTCATCTTGTTGAAGGAAATAACTCATTTATGAGAACAGACTGCCTACACCACTACAAGGGGTGTGTAAGCACTTGTTGATTCATTTTAAAAAAAGCTGTCAGATTCTAATACTATTGCTTTTGTTTGTGGCTGTTTAATTACAGGATTGACAGCCATTTTAATCTCTTCAAAGCTCCAAAGGCCTCTCAGCAGCTAATCCAATTATATCTACTCCACAAGCTACAGCCTCATCTAAAAGATGATTAATTATTGATTAAGCCAATCAAAAAGTATTAGCAAAGATTTGTTTAATCCTTACTTTTTATCACCTCATTTATATGTGGATTATGGCAAAAGCTGTAAGGGCAAAGATAACATTTTGATTTTCTGATTAAAAAAAAGAAATGGAGTGTACCTCTAAATATTCAGGAGTCACCTTAAATAAAGGAGTAGAGGCCTGATGTCAATTTACCCCTTGCTTGAAAGGCAGCCCAGTAAAACTGCCAATTTAACACATATATAGCACCCTCCTGAGCCACAGACAATAAAACCCCGTCCCTCAGTGGGGAAGTCAAGGCATTTCACCAGCTCTCTGCCTGCTCTGCACTACTACCTTGGCCGCAAAAAAGGGACAATAATTGCTTGTACACAGCTGGCGACCTAACTTTAACACAACCACAGGAACAATGAGGAAGGCAACACCTGAATTACACAACATATATACATTAGATACTGTACAGCAGTTAAATGAATTTTTTTTTGCTCAGGAAAAGCAGAGACAGCAAGAGGAATGCAGCTATTTGCACAGATGTGGCCACCAGATACTGTCGTGATAAGCTCACAATACCCACTGCCTGCAGCATTTCAAACCCTGAGAAACTGCTGTGATTGGGCTGGCCAGCTCTGGGTGGGATGCTGGGGGCCAGGGACAGAGGTTTGTAATGACCACACTTGAAAAGCACAGGCCAGACTTTGCCTGTATGTGTGTGTAGGATCTATCTTTAAATATTAGACTGGAGATAGCTTGCCATATTCGAGGACTGACAGCAAGTCCTCTTCCTTCAGGCAATGCTATCTACAGTGTGAAGATTCTGCCCAAAAAAAGTGCACTCTTAGTTTCAGGTATCTGCTGGAGATGTGTGCGAGAAGAGACCAAAAGAATACTTGAAATCAGATTCAGAAGAGCCCCAAAAAATCGAAGACTGCAGATCTAGTGTCCAAATGGGACCAGAACCCTGCCTGCTTCAGGTGTCTCCCAAAGGCAAAGCTGCAGTGCTTTGGAATTGCATCTAATAGCAAAGAGGTTTTTTTTTTCCACAGAAAACCCCCATATACATCTAAGGCCTTTTTGACTTCTAAGCTTCAAACATCATAATACAAATCAAGTGCCCTTTGAAATCTGTAATTAATCTTACAACAATGCCTCAGTGCCACTTACTCAAGTTCAAGCCTCAGTAGTCATCTATGGCACTTATTTTTGGAGAGTAACCAGAAGAGTAAGTCCTTGCTCAAGTTTTAAGTCCTAAAAGTAAAAACATAGCCACAAAGAACGAAATCACCTTTGCTTGCCCTCTAAGCTGAGGGTTTCCTAGGTGTTTGTTTTAAAAATCACAACACATACTCTTAGGTTGCAACATTTAGCACTCCAGCCAGAAGTCACAGAATCACATCGTTTACTAGTAATTTACAACTTATTATTGGTAATAAATAAATTATAATGGCTATTAAAGGCTAAAGAAACAGTTTAAGAAAAAAAACATAGGAAAACAAGGACCTACCTCTCCTCATGTAATGATACTTCTAAGATATCTGTAAATATTGTCCAGAAGTCCTATCTCATAATCTGTCAATTCTAAAGACATAGCTCTTTCTCTGCAACTTCCCTTTCGTGCTTCACTTTTATATCCTGCTACAGACACTGCAGAACCTGACACAAACCTCTCTCAGCAAGTGATCTGTGGAGACTACACCAGAGGCCAGAAACACGACAGATCCACAATGCACAAGTCTTAGTCTGTGGTTTTTGTGGAGGTCCTTTGGGGACAAATGCACCTACTGCTGACAATGTAATGCAGAAATACAAGTTGCTGACGTGCGTTTGTAACCTCTCATGAAGCTCAAAGCCCGTTTCTCAGCTTGCTGTACCCATTGCAAAGTGCACCACTGTGAACTCTGTTGCCTTTCAGATTCATTCCCAATGCATTTTCTCCTCTCTAGGTTTTAGCTATGAGGTGGGCTGAGCTCATGCTGCATAGAACAACAAGGATATTTATCCTTTACCTTTCTGTTCCTGCATAAGCTTCCTGCTCTGCAAGTCCTTGTGCAGGATGAAAGATGGTTGTTGCAGCTTTGCTGTTCTCTGTGTATTAGGAGGCTGAATTCCACCCAGCCTTCCTCAGACAAATGCTACCCCGTAAAAGTGAACTGTATGAAGACAGCAATATTCTAGGCCACCAAAAGAAGTAGGAGGAGAAGCAGAGATCAGCATATTTTTTTTCCTGACCATAACCTAGTCCTAAAATGATGTAAAACATGGCATCTTTTCAATAGTGAAGACTTGACTGCAAGCTCTGAACAACCACACAAGCTTATCTCCTGTTTATCAAAGAGGAAAAAGAAAAAGAGGGAGACAAACATGAAAAGATCTGGGCTGCCTATAAAGCTAGTTTCAGAAGTTTGGAACAAGTACCTGCTAACTAACAGAAATTTTGAGTAGCACTGCAAGAAGCATTCAGCCCACTTCAGTCCCACGCAAGAGCCCACTGAGCTGATCCTCACCTGGTGTGAACAGCCACAGCTCTCCCAGCCTCAGCAGTTTGCCTGTTGAGCACCGGCTGCTTAGAGGCCCCAGCTGAGCTTTGACAGCTTGGACTAACTGAGGATGTGCCTGCTGTCTAAGGCGAGATAAAAGGTGGCAAGGGAAGCACGAGAAACTGGCTTGTATAGCCTCAGGAGCCAGTTCACTATCCCGAAACTGGATGTTGATGGTACATCTCTAGAGCAGAAGAGAGACTGCTGCACCCAGCAGGTGGCAGCAGGAACACTGCCGTGCCCAGGAAGATCCGTACAAGTACACGGTGTATGTATTTATACATATTTGAACATCCTTATGTGACCTCCCATATACTCAAATGCATTTTCTTGCAACATTCCTTTTTCTAATGCAAACAAAGCATTCTATTCGAGTGTACTTAGAAACACACCATAATTAAACAGTTGGTAAAATGCATTCTTTTCTTCCACTTTCAGATCTCCCAAGAGTCCCTTCAAATACATCCATAGACGTTTCAGCTTCCTGCTTGCCATTTAGCTTGATAACGACTCAAAAATCATTCCCTTGTTTTGAAGGGTAAGTCTTTCTTGTATGCTCTACGTGCTATAGGGCAGTATTGACACATGGAATTAATGATGGTGTCTGTAATGAAACAGCCATCATGTAGACACCAGCCTGCTCCTTTGATAAAATGGCATGCTAGGGACCTATTCACCTCCTCATAATTGAGTACTACATAATAGTTCCGATCCTTTCATGTAACATTATTTTGTTCTATCATTAGAAAGAGGACCAAAAAAAACTCAAAAAACTATGCAACATTGCCTTCTTCATTCATCCTATGATTAATTTTGTGTTTTTAATGAGTATGGTTGCTTATTTAGACAGGTTCTCTTACATACTCATTTTGTTGACTTCTGTTCAAGGTACAACAAAACCCAGGCTGTGATAATTGGAGACCATTTCATCAGCAAAAGGATTCTTGCTATTAATACAAGGTTGGCTTGGAAAAGGCATCCTGACATTTTAAATTAGTCAATTAATATACAATTCTACATACCATTTATAATAGAAAAAATGTTAGCATTTTTTCCCAGACATTTTAATTAACATGGAGTATTTCCAGTAATCAATGATGTAAGCAGACAATATCATACAACACTGATTTAAGGTTGCTAACTTGATATTTTGCAAAAATGAAAGGTTCAGTTCAATCTTTTTGCAGATCTAGGAAGTTTTTCAAACCTCAAGTATGTGCATTACATACAGAGGATGCCAATTTACAGTCCCCAAACAATTCTCAATGAATCAACAAGATAGTATCGTCCCTTACTGCAGGCAAAGCCCACAGAGTTACTTCAGGGCCAAGTTCAGGCACCCAGCTAACTACCTAACTAACATCTACATCTCCCAGAAGCTGCAGTAATCAAGGTTTTTCATCTTCACTTACAATTTATATATATTTAATGATTTTTATAAGTAATCTCATCCAGGCAAATTTGAGCAAAGTATTAATTTCTACAAAGCTTTTGCAGAACCCAAGTATATGTTAAAATAGTGGTGCAGGGGCAATAGGTTCACAAGCAATATCCTGCTTTCCTCCATTTTGATAAACCAAAACTGGGTGATTAATTTTAATTTAGCCTAGTCTTTCATCAGTTACACCATGAACTAAACACCTATAACCTAACAGAATAGAAAAAACTTTGGAAGTGAGACCTGAAATGACCAAAAGCATGGGTGGGTTTTACATCAACTCAAAGCAGTTTCAATTCTTGAGTGCCAATGCTGAAAATCAGAGAAACTTGGAGAGCAAAAATCCACTGTCATCTTACAGAACAAGGGAGAAATTGCCTTTTTAGCAGTTATAGTTTCAATAAACCTGTACATAAATTACAATGTAAAACGCAGCCATCAATGAAGGCTGTAACTTTTCAGTGAAGTAGTGCTGTTTTGCAAATTTGTTGTCTGAGTTCAATCTGTCATCAGGTAACTTTTCAAAAGCAATATACAGGTAGTCAAAGCCAAATCTAGAACGCCCCAGGGACAGACTGGCCTGATTATCATCAACAGTCAGGAAGGGAACCAAGCTTGACAGTCCTTCAACTTTTTTTTTTTCCATAACTTTCTTCAGTAAAAGAAGAAGAAAACAAAGCTAGCTCTTTAAAGCTTAGCTTCCATTAGTGGGAAAACACAAGTGTACTAAGCAAACCAGTTTTGCTGTACATCACACAAGTTCACCCTAAGCTCTTTTTCAGAGTGCACAGATAAAGCTACATAAACTTGCTCAAGATTAGAAGAGGGAGCTGGTTCCCTGTCCAACTTCCTCCTCTCTTAGGAGCAAAGCAATGGGCCAAAGTGAAACTGCTCATGGAGTATATCCCCTCCTATTGTGACAACAAAGACCAGAAGAAGCAGGAAACTCACCACCAGCGGTCTGCCTCAAAGCAAGATTCAAAACCCAGAATCAACTGAAGCCTCCTGTCAAAGCAACCTCCAGTTTAATTTTTGAGGTTGCAAACCAAGGGGAAAGAAAATGCATTTTAGCAGTAGATTTAAATTTTTAAAAAACTCCCAGCACTGAAGGGCTCAAACAGGAGGCAAAAGCGGTCAATTCCAAAACCACAGAGGGACTCCTATTACCATCAGCATATTACTAACTCTGCTCATATACATGACTGGCAGCTTCCCATTTTATTTGACATCTGCAAACCCATCAATTGCACTCAATCACATTCATTAAAAACATCCCACAGCCTCCCAAAGCCAAGTCTAAATTTCTTTTTAATTCTTGCCAGCAATCCCCCCCTCCCCCTAGTTGTCAGAAAAACAAAAAGGGTGGGAAGAACAGTCAAGTGATTTTATTCAAGTTATCACAGCACCTAAAAGGGTCACATCAACACCGTCTCACAGTAATGACTATACTAGAAACAAACAAACAAAAATCTTACAAGCAAATGAGTCTCAGCCCTGAAGAGTTGGCGGTCTAAGTACTATAGAAGAAACTGCAGGTGGATGTAACTGACACAGAGAGCCCAAGGTAAAGGCAATGCTACTGGCCAAGAGGCTCAGTAGTGACCCAGGGCACCAGCTGCTTCCTTATTGTCCGTTTTAGCAGGGAACACAGCAGGTGCCTCCAAGCCTCCAAACTGAAAAGGCTCTTATGCTACAGTAACGCCATTTGGACTTTGTGCAACTGCTACAGCAACAGCAATGCGCTTGTCTTCAGTCTTAGTTTATCTCTGGTCTTTGTCTTTCATTTAAAAAAGCTTTACAACATTCAGTAATTTTATTCTGGTATCCCTAAGCCTGAGCATCTTTATTCTCTAGCTTACGTAGCAATTGTTTAATTTTACATACTAGTTCAATTAGGACTGCATGAGCATTGCAATTTCTTCTCTTTATTAAAAACACTGTAATATACTATACTTACTTTCCATGTAAACAGTGTGAAAAAATATCCAAATACTTCACTGACAGTCTCAGATCAGTTGTTCAGAGATCCCTCCCTGCTTTTCTTCCTGCTTATAATTCAGTCTTTGGCAGCTAACAAACTTCAGATTCTCCTGTATCTTTTGCTGGATTCCTAATCTTTAACAGAGATGTAAAAATACTTGGTTTACCGAGTTTCTCTCAACAGATCTTGTTATTTGAATATCTACAGATTCTCACAAAACACCAATGTCTTTTTAGCTGCTAAGTTTTCACATGTTTGAAGAATGATCCACTTACATATTTACCTAAATTCCTATAGCTCATATTAATTTAATATTAGCATTACAAAGTGTTCCTCAAGAATGTAAAACTGGGCTTATGCAGAAAAACTTCAAGCCATCACTCCAATACAGCTACAAGTATGGGGGAAGAAACCCCAGCAAATTCTAGACATACTGAGTCAAAGACAAAAAAAGCTATAGCTAAGATCTGTTCCCTTTATTTATGTAAAAAATTATAAAGATGAACTTTCTGTATCAATAACATATACCTTTATGTCACATTAAGAACCAGTTTCTTCTATGACATTTCCTCAGTCATTTAAAACAAATTAAGAAGGCTCATTTGTAAGCCAGTCCACACTTGTTTTAATAAATCCACAGTAATTTTTAATTGTCAATTCCCTTTTAACTGCTCCATTATATAATTTATTGTTTCTGGTGACAACTGTTTTCATACTGTATTTGCTCTTCATATGAGCAGCAGACGTAAGTAGTTACGAAGAGATGCTGCTCATTGGCTTGGGGAAAAAGAGTACACTTGCCTTGGCCTTTGACTGAGTCCCAAGCCTTAAAAGAAGAAATTCTTTTCATTACTATCAGCCTATTGATTTAGGAGGCAGGTCCCCTCACCACCAGAGCTTCATGATCCTGTCCTATCCTCTCCAAAGGAGTTTTCTCTCAAGTCCAGTGACACATCACTCTTTTCTTTGATGTGCTAAACATTTTTCTCTGCATTTGAAGTCCTAATCCTCTGAAGAAGTTGATTATAGCACTATTTTGAAGCACTAGACCTTAGTATGGAATCAAGATATGAGACACCTCCCTCAAAAGCAACTATAATACAATACCTGGAAAGTTTATCAAACATGTTGACAAGCTTCATAGCTTCATATTCTTTTTGTTCCTCTGTCATTTCATCCAGTGGATTGGGCATTGGTTCTTCTAAGTGACCAGTGATGAGGTTAATGCTGGAGGTGGAGAAACAACACAGTTTACATCTCTACAGAAATACATGAATTTTCTATCTTCTTGATGGGAGGAAAGAGGAACGCATTAACAGAAACCATCAAGCCTAAAACTGTCTGAACCGCACATGGAAGTTTTTACTATAAATAGCCCACCTTCATATTTATACCTTTTTTGTAGCCTTTTCTCATGAATCATATTACCTCCTTCTTGATTCACTGTGTTAATTTCTTGTTAGCCACAAGAAATACGCAGTCCACTAGTACCTGCTGTGCTATAACCCACACACAAGCAGTTTGAAAGCAGCGGAATAATGATGGTAATAATTACAATCTCATGAGTAATAATGACATAGATGTGGAAAAAAAAAATGACAAATGTGTTTGAAACCAATGCTGTACAGGGCTAATTCTAAAAATTTAGACAGGTTCAATTTTCTTATTCATGAAGAGCCATTGAATTAGTTTACTATTCCCCTCCCATTACAATTTTTACTCAAACCAAATTATAGTTACTTTACTTTGAACATGACAATGCCAGTTTTCTTTTTGCTGTTAAAGCAAGTGAAGGGTAACAAAAGCAGAAAAGTAGTTTTAAAGAACACTTTCAGGACAAATGATCTTTGCACGCAGTTTATTCACAAATATTTAACAGCAATACCAAAAATCAGATGCATATTCACAAAAGTCAACTGACAGCTGTCTTAACGCTTTATTCAAGGAACAGCTTTTAACTAAATAAATGTTACAGTTTTACTTCTATGTATAGAACTGGATGTTACCCTTCTTTCAAAGTAAAAAATAGTGAGAAAAAAAATAAAACCTGAAGTGCAGAAATAAAAAGAAACTTCCTGCTTTAGAGTTCATTTCTGAGTATAGAAGCAATACAATTCCTTTAACCTCTCATACATTTAATCCTGTAATTCATGTTCCTTAACAAGAATCTTTCCATAAGCCACAACTTCATGTCATACACCAAATAGTGTCTGTGTAATTCAAGGCCAAGAGAGTAAAGTGGAAAAATAACATGCTTCAGATGTGCACTACCAACAATTTCAGAACCTACTGAAAATGGTGTCAAATCATAGATGTTACATGACAAATTGAAACCTCTAATACCAAATCAACTACAACCAATAACAATCAACAGAGAGAGCTCCTATATGACCACTGAATCCTTCAAACAAATACACTGGAATAGTGATGCACAACTTCTGCAGAAGTTATTTTGCTCCTTCCATAGTTACCTATGAGACCTACTAAATTCTTTAGGAAAACATTAGTATCAGGCAATCTGACTGACTAAATCTAGACCTACTGGTTTGTTCCTTTTCTACTAATGCTTGCTTAAAACCTTAAGCCACATTTGACACCTTTATTTTCTCTGTTAAAGAGATATACCCCACAAACAATCATTAGTAGTTTGACAACTTCATGTGAGTTCCTGAAAAATCTGAGGAAAACACCATCCTTACTAGGTTTGTTACTATATTTTTTTCCTAAAATTTGCTAAAATAAAAAATCTATTTTCAGAATTAGATTTTAAATAGTGATTCAGTTAGTTAATATCAGTTAAAAGTTATTCTGACTTAGCTTTTGGTGGTTTCCCCCCCACACCCCTGGAGTTATCTGACTACATGATGGTCACTATTAGAGGCTGGTTTCTCAATAATTAGACCATGAAGTCAACAGCAGACAGTCGTTAACATAAGCTCATGTAATTCCAAAACTGGCCCCTCTGGAAAAGGTGAAGCAAAAAAATTATGTCAAAACATCTCCACTGCAACAGGATATGCAGAATTCAAAACAATACTATACTTTGGCTTTGCAGATTTGTATTCTTCTGTATCCGTATCTTCATCATCTGAGTACCAATGATCTCCTCTTCCTCCTGCTAACAGGCCCCTTGCTGCCAGCAATCCTGCTGCATTGCCATAGCCTGTATATTTTAACAAGCTGTCGACTGCAAAGAGTGACACAAAATTATTTGTATATATCTGATGAAAATTATTCAGACATAATCAGCTACAAAATAAAACCCAGCATAGTATTAAAAGAATCAAGTTACGGCAAGGGGCAAATATGTTAATTACAGCAAAACCTTACATAAAAGGGAGAAGAAAAAGTAATTTTTACCTCTCTCTTTACAAAGAACGAAAAGAAATTCTGCTGCAATTTGCTTTACTCCAAGGTCAACGTGTGTCATAAGGCGCACAAGCTTGTTTCTCACTGTTGTGCCAACTTCTGGACGATTTGATACGTCTCTTAATGGAGGCAATACCTATCAGCACAAAAAACCAGGAGGAACGGCATAGAAACATGGCAATATCTATCCAATCCTTGCAGAAACACACACAGTCAACAGAACATGAAAATACTGTAAGATCATCTCCTTAAAAAAAAAAAAAAGGAATAAAATCAACACGTTTACATGCACTAGTAATGACTCTTCCTTCTTAACATATTCTGGCTTTCTGGTCTGCCGTCCTGGGCAGAAGAATACTCAGTCCCAAATGTGGACTTTAGAAAAAAACAGACAACTGCTAGGAGTTTAAGAGCACAAACGAGTATCCCAAAATAGCCGGCCAACAGACAGCAGTAACCTCATGTTCTTTGTTTCTTCTGTTTTGCACAAATATCTGGCAAAAGCACTAAAAATACCAGCTTAAGGAAACTTAATGATGTTAACAAGATGTGTAATTTATACAGAACAATGAATATACTTACAATGAAAAAGCAGGAAAATAAGTCACATTGCAAGTTCTACTAACATGCATTTCACAAATTGGATCTACATCTAGAGGAAATGCATACTTCTCCCAGAAAAAAATTCCTCTTTTAAAAGCTGAAGCAAAGTTTCAGAAAGATATGGAGAAAACACTATTTAACGTTTCCTCAAACACATTCTTTTCCCCATTAAATGGCATTAATATTGTTAAATTCAGCCATCAAGAAAAGTGAGAGGTGCCTGAAATATGTCTGGTTTTGCAACCTAATGTCCACCTCCTTTGCATATGCATTCAGACTCAAAACCTACTTTCATTTTTTCCATATTCAGAGGGTTTGATTTGACCTGCAAACAAGTCTGGGCCATAATATGAAGCAGTATTTAATGGTCTGAAGAATTCTAAGAATTATGGATCTTCAGTGGTTCACTAGTGAATGAAACCAAAGATGTCACTAACTGTCATAAGGAACTGCAGGTCCTGTGTCTTCTAGGTGTCCAATGCAAAAATGTCAGGTTCTGTGCAGAGTTACTGCACGATTACTACTGAAATCAGACTCACTGGGAACTGATACTTAAAACAAATGAATGCTACAGAGTATTGACTACTTTGAAAAAAACAGACCCCATCTTTATCAAACTAAGAATTCAAACAATTAGCAGAAACATTTTACTTTGTCCCTGCTTACTTTCCCCAATGGGAATAGTACCATGACTGCCATTTCACAAGAGTGTTGTAAGAATGAATTAATGTTTTTAGAATACTGTAATACTAATACAGTGATGAGTGCCACAGGACAGCCCATGAGGAAATTAATCATTCTGTCTTCAGATCAGGATTTGAATAGTGCACAATAAATAAAGCCTAAGGCCAACACTTAACAATGGGGGTAATTCAAAACATCAAACATCCGGTCATGCAGTTAGCAGCATCCATCCATTCTGTGCACTATATAAGGCAGTGGTCCTGCGGTAACAGACAGCATGCAATTATATCCTAACATCTAGACACCAAGATGTCATAAAAACATGCAGACAACTTCATTTTCTAACTACTGAACATTTGGCTCTGCAACTTTTTTTTTTCCCCCTACTTAATAGATCAGAAGATTATCCTAGGAAACAACTGCTGCAAACAAAGACAATAAACACCAAGAACAAGTTTCATAAATTCCTGAAGAACGCTTTTCTGGTATAAATGAAAGAGGCAGAAAATACATGCAAAATATGCTCTTTTTCATTATAAATTCTATTTATGGATTCAGATGCAGTTTTGATCTGGGAGCAGCATCTAAGATGCTACCAGAAAAATCACTGCAGCTTAGAAAACAGAACATTTCTTAGCCAGATTCAGCTGTTTCTCCCTCGCTCATCTTTTAACTTCTCTCCACTTGACCTCAGGAAAATCAGCAAAACAAACAAAAAACACCACACCCAACCACCAAGCCATAGAGATCCTTTAGAACTTTTAACCATGGCATGGAAATCTTGTTTCTTGTAAAAAGCCTCCCCACAGCCTGTACTGTATTAAACAGCTCTTGAAAGAGAGCGGGTGATGAAGCATGCCTCTGTTCGGGGACAGAGCTCTCCTCTGACAGAACAGCTGAGACACACTGGTACACAACTTCCAACTCCAATGACTCCCGCCTGCTGAGGTCGAGCTAAAGCTCAAGCAGAATCCATCAAGACACCTGCAGCCTCACTGGCTACTGCACAGCTTTGCCAGGTTCTATTAACTGCCCCGAAAACGTTTCTGGCATGCTGGATGTAAGAGGGGACACTGCACCTCCATGGTGACCCACATTAACATGGCTTTACAATTTTCCTGATTTTATTATTTAGCAGCTCTACAAAATGCACTGTAGAACTTAAGCCATATTATTAATTGATTTACATGACTGAAAAGTTATTTCTATAGTTATCAGAGACCAAACAGGAAAAAAATGCTGCAAAGAACTTTGTGGATAATTTAACATGAAACCATTCATGCTCTTAAAGTATGTATCTTGCACTGATGTACAAACATCAAAGTTTATCATCAGGTTCAAATTCAAATTTTTATGAATATTTTACTTACCTGAGCTTTGATAAACTTCCTGATATTTCTATGAGTTCGACAGCATTCAGTTAATAAACTGAGAACTGGAGTCAAGCCTTCTCTATAGCTGCTTCCCTAAAATATAACCAAATACAAATAAAACATTTTTAAATCCTATGAACCCTTTGATGAAGTCCTATGTGACAGCCAAAACATGAACTTTACAGAGATTAACCAAAGAGTCAAATGTTCATCTTATGCACACAAGCAAGTATCCTTCAGATATTCACAGGAATTTGTTCTCAGTTTTGAGGTGTTTCACAATCTAGAAGCAAGGACATCCATATTCATGCGTGCAATTTTGCTTTAGTGAAAGAGGTCCCCTTTGTGAAGGATCTTTGCAGCCCATACCTTGTCTATTCTCTTCTCCATGAAATCCAGTAAAATCTGAATTGCTTTCATATTCATACCATTGTGTTTTATATCTGTATCCTCTTGGGATGATGGACTAATAAGAACATCCAAGCAAGAAACGGGAACATTGCTTAATAGGTTGACTGCATTGCTGAAACAGATTTTTAAAATTCATTATTCATTTGGAAGAAAGAATTAAAAACAGAGTACAACTCACCATAAACCGTTTGTACAACTGCACCCAAAAACAGGCCCTGCGACTCAAACAACGCTTTATTTTCTGCTCTCTGGGTTTTAAAGGAGGCAGCATGAATTGCTGTCTGAGTGCCGGTGCTCGGAACAAACAAGGAAAATGAAAGAGAAAAGCTCCAAAAGCTACACTGCAGCAGTGTGTGATCACTTCCAGCCCCCACAGTATCCTATCCCACAGATAAGGCCACAGCTTCCAGCAGCGTGCTACAGCAGCTGGTCTGGCAGGACAGCAGGGGGAACTCTCACATTGATTTGAGGCAGTCAGGTTTTCTTCTTCCTTGAAACTGAAAACATTTTACAACACATCCATATTACCATCGTTAATGTGACAAAGTACACCACAGAAAACACCACTTCCTCCTGTAACAGGGTGGCATGGTGGCAATTTCTCAAGTCCCCCTGAAAAATTTTCACTTTTACTGAGCCTGTAGTGTATGGGAAATACAGAAGGCTTTAAACAGATGAAAAGATGACTCTGGCTTATTTACCAAACACTACCCTTCAGTGACCCGCAGTCTTGGCATTCTACAGAGCACAAAGAGAAGTGCTTCCCAAATATCCAATAAATGATTTAAATTAGATCACAGGGTCCCTTCCTCCTCTTTAATGAAGATGGAAGGTAATTCGCAAGGGTCTCTTGTATGGTACACATCCCTCGAGGTTGCCATCTATCCTGTTCTCATAATAAAGACTTGTGTTTGCACTCTTTCTGAATATGGGACTGAATTACACAGATGCTGCAACAATTAGAATTCTGTCACTATTTACTTGCTGATGCCCAACTAAACTTACAAATGGATGTATTTAGAAATACTACAGAACTACTTAGACATACATGCAGACTGCAAAACTATCAACAGAACTAGGAACACGGATGTTTCAATGATTGGCAAAGTGTTCCAAGAATAAAGAAAACTTCTCAAACAACTTCTTTTAACACTTCTAATAATATCTACTTAGAAGCTACCCTCATTTTTTTGTGCCATCAGTACAATTCTGACAAAGAATTAGTAAAAGAGAAAGCAAATATGGCAATCAAACATAACAGGATTTCTAACAAATGTGCTGGTTTTGGTCTGATCAGACTGGGTGGCTGTTCCATGTTGTGCCATCTCCCGTTTGCTCTCTTGGTAATTGAAATTTAGACAACTTCTGCTTTTTGGAAAGCTTGTTCTCTTTGTGTTGTTTTTAATTCCTGTTAAAGATATGTCTTGTACATCATGGAGGTTACTCCTCTTCAATAGTTCAGGAATAGTCAGAAACACCACAGACTGAAATTCAACAAATATTTGGTGGCTTCAGGGCTCTCATCAGAAGTTCTCTTTTTACCAGTTTCTTATTAAACAACCAAGTTCCCAAACACCTACAAAATTAATTTTCTGGATCACTGTGTCTGAGCTATTCTTTTCAATAAATGAAGCCTGGCTTTCTGATCTTTGTCACTCCACTGACAGTTTTATTTGTGGTAGAGGAGTGTATGAAATTCTCCAGCTACCAGGAAGTCAGTGACTATGCACAGATCTGCACAATAGTGTTTGCATTCCTACTCCAGGGGGTAGAAATACTGCGTATATTACTCTCCCCTTTTCGGCTTCCTAGAGATCATTAATCACTGGGACATGACATCCACCCACTCATGCTCCCAGCCCCCTCCTGATATGCAAATTCAGAAGCAAAGGCCTATTTAGAGCTGCTGAATGCCTTGATTAAAACCTTGTTAGTGGGCAAAAATGGCACTCACTCTAATATGTGGTTCTTTAAGCTGTTCATATTCAATCGTTAAGTAATGACATGACAGAACCACAATAATCACAACAATACCGGGTACTAAATTAGTTAGGATTTTTATAGGTAACTTCTGGTTATTTATTAGAAAGAGTCACACTGACAATCAGTACATCACAACTCAGGGCATGCATCCAACACCTGATGCTCACATAAAATGAATTCTCAACTTACACATTCAGAGCACAAGCATTCGTGCAAGATGCTTTAACAGGCTGCCCAAACCCTTCATTTAAGCCTCCTTCCTACATACTGCAGACTTACAAACTTAGAGAAGTCCCAGTTATCGACAGTTCTAATAAGTATACTTATGCCTCCTTGACACTTCATGAAGTTTATTCTGCATTTAACATTGCTTATATTTCTTTTTGGTTTTAACATTAATTTTGTAATTGCCTTACTGATAGGGTCCAGGTGGAAGGCAGAGCAAGAAGTTGCACTCTGCAACTATTACACTGCTTGTGTTAACACGTTTACTCATTCATTACTGAAGCTCCTATCTGTAATGAAAGTTGCTTGAACAACTACATCAGTGGACTGAAGTGGGACCCTCTGATCCCCACTGCCCCTGATGCCTCTGAGGATTTGCAGGGGCATTACTTCTGACTATATCTTTTTCTATTCTAGAGCTGCCTTGTGATGAACAGTCTTGGTGGAAAAGTGTATTAAATTATTCTGCTTTTATTGCATCCTGTAGCACTCAAAGACAAAACTCAGGTTCTGCAAACAGGCTGAAATATTTGAATCGTGAAAGCCAAAACCTGTGCAGCGCTCTTCTATCATGTTAAAAAACCCCACAAGTTTGGCATAAATCAAGAAAGAGTACAACATGCAGCAGTACTATACTTGCATTCTTTCTTCTACCAACTTGAGCTAAACAAACTAGCTGCAGTTAGCTAAGAGGGAGAAAGTTGTTTTCCCAGTACAACAGAAAGACTGATACAATGCAAATCTGAGACTGATGGAGAAGGGGAAACCACTGAAGTGATACAAGGCAGGGATAATCATCCTCATATCTTTTCTGTTTCGGCCTCTCAAAATTATGGAGAATCTCTGCCTTTACCTCGTGTCTCCGTAAGGTCCACACGCGCAGCATCTCTACATAAAATATCCCTCTGACTGAAAAGAGCAAGGACAAATCATACCAATAATACATATTCTCCACAGCTGCCTACATCTATATGTAAAGCCCTTTTTCCATCTCATGTGCAAGTGTTTGCAAAAGCTAAAATCAAAGGGAACTACGTAACGTGTCATTTTGAAGCAGCACAAGATAAATTTTACAGGGTGACATATATTACAGGGGGATTAGACTAGTCAGATTCCTGGACAACGAAAGAGAACATGTTTTCACCAGAAGAGCATCAGCTGTATATGAACTCATCAGAGTATCAGGCTGTCTTGCTGACTATGTACAAACTTAAATGCTAAAGGCTGATCTCTATCTTATGGTAGTTGTTGGATTTATCAAACAGTATTCAATCTTCCCAGCAGTGGGGAACTTATTCCCACCAGTCCCTCCCTTAAAGAAGGATGAGAGTGCAAAACACGCACCACAAGCAGGAAAGAGAAAACACTGACTGCCTTTTAGGACACACTCAGCACCAAGTTTAGTCATGGTAACTGCTGCAGCAGTATCTGAAATTATTCCAAACTAGTCTCCACCAACTGAGAAGGGCTCTGATGTAGGATTTTAGTGTTCACCTACTAAGACTGTTGATCTCTAAGAGCTATCCAAGATTTTAATCAAGTTCATTTAACACTTTCAAGATTGCTGGGTGTGAAAAGCTACATCCTTATTCCTGGGGACCACTGGTTCAGAAGATCTTCAAAAGATCCTACACTTAGATATACAGACATCTCTGAAGAAGAAAATGGCAACACTAACTTTCATTGCTGAGAGATACTGTGGGATAGTGTTTGAAGATACCGTCCTGTCAGGCCCTGTCAGGCTGACCTACTTGGATAAAAATAAGGTTGCCATGGAAAAAAACAGTAACAGTGAACAGAGAACCACCACCTCACTAAAAATACTCTAAATTTTGATTAACTATTGGCTGAAAATACATAACAAACAGCTGGATGCAGGACTGTGGAAAAAAACAAACAAACAAACAAACAAAAGGCAATGCACCTAAAACTGCAAGATGATTCACTCATCTTTGGGGAAAAAAAAACCTCAAGCCAAACAAACCAAAGCCAATTATTACCGGGGAACTGATATTTGCAGTTTCAATAAAGTAGCCTAGAACTATTGGACATAAAATATTAACTTGTTACTTCCATCCCTATCCATCAGAATTGCAAAAGTTGCATAGGAAAATCTCAAAATGCAGTTTTTCCCATCAGCTTCTGTGGAAAACAACAGAAGTTGCATTTCACATCAATTTGCACTAGCCCTAGAACCTCCATACGTATTTTCATCCTCAGTTACACACCCTCATCCCCCCCCCCCCCAAAAATTTTTAAAAAAAATAAGATACATTATTTTTGGACAAAAAACGTAA